TAAAGGGGGCCCAAGGAACTTCAGGCTGGTAGGATCACTGAACATGTTAGGCAAGTGTAAAGCATTGGGGACAAGGCATCACTTTTCCTCTCAATTAAATTAACCACCATTTGTCTAATGTTTTACAGTTTATAAAGAACTTAGTGTTAATCATGCCTAACAAATTGACTAGAATTCTTTTACAGGATAAATGTGTATGTGGACAAAGGGAAACCATGGATGTAATCTATTTAGATTTTGAAAAGGCCCTTGACAAGATCCCACGCCAAACACTGTTTTAACAAGTTAAGTCACCATGGAATTGTGGAGTAGTGCTTTGAAATGGATAGGAAAGTGGCTTATAGTCAGGGAAGCACAAGTAGGAATAAGCATAGACTTTTCTGGAGAAGTATGAACAGTGGTATGTCTCAGGGATCAGTGCTGGGACCAGTCAACGTTTTGGTAAGTTGTCTGGGCAACCTTTAGATGACCACAACTTTTACAGGTAACAAAATGCAAAGCTGACTTTGATCCTTTTATAGTTGTATTGATGATCAGAGAAAAAAGAGTCAGAGTAGGCTTGTTCAAGGAGTGGCCTCTGAAACCAGACTTCTTGGCTCTGAATCCTGACTCTGCCCTTCGTGAATGTGACTTTAAGCAAGTCACTCCACCTCCTCCAGCATACTTTTTTAATTATTATACTTTAAGTTCTAGGGTACATGTGCACAACATGCAGGTTTATTACATATGTATACATGTGCCATGTTGGTGTGCTGTACCCGTTAACTTGTCATTTACATTAGGTATATCTCCTAACGCTATCCCTCCCCCCTCCCACCACCCCACGACAGGCCCCAGTGTGTGATATTCCCCGTCCTGTGTCTAAGTGTTCTCATTGTTCAATTCCTACCTATGAGTGAGAACACCTCCAGCATAAATTTTATCATCTGTAAAGTGAGAATAGTAATGACCCCTACCTCATAGTGGTATTGTGAAAATGATATGAGACAATGCATGCCAAGCCCTGGCACAGTGTTTAGAGCATAATAAGTGTCCAATGAACATTAGCTTCTCTTATTTTTACTTTTCATATTTATTCAACATTCTTCTAATAGGTTGCCAGGCTCTGAGTGGTAACTTTATGTCCTGTGGAACCTTGGAGCTATTGTAGACTGTTTCATGAAAGCACCGGCAGAATTCATTTTAGTAATGAATTCAGAGGACAGAGGTAACTATGGACTGAGATGGCTATGAAAGATTTCATGGAGAGAAACTAACAATTATGGAACACCTAGTATATGCCAGATACTTGCCTAGATGCTTTATAAATGTTCCCCCTTGATTTAATAGTCCAATGAAGCTGGCATTATGATCCCCACTTAATGGATGACAGAATGGAGACATAGAGAGGAGGCTAAGAAACTTGTCCCAGGGCATGCTTGCTCATAAGTAGAGCAATAATTTAAATAAACATTTGTCCTACCCCAAGACCTATTTTCTTTTCACTGCATCACACTTGAATTGCACCTTGAAGGATGGGTAAAATTTAAGATGAAAGAAAAAAAGGTAGATCTATATAGAAATAAAATGGGCAGGCCTGGCACTGGGGCTTATGCCTGTAATCTCAGCACTTTGGGAGGCCGAGGCAGGCAGGGATCACACGAGGTCAGGAGTTCGAGACCAGCCTGGCCAACATGGCAAAACCCTGTCTCTACTGAAAATACAAAAATTAGCTGGGAATGGTTGTGTGCACCTGTAATCCCAGCTACTCAGGAGGCTGAGGCAGGAAAATTGCTTGAACCCGGGAGACAGAGGTTTCAGTGAGCCAAGATTGTGTCACTGCACTCCAGCCTGGGCAACACAGTGAGTGAGCTCTGTCTCAAAAAAAAAAAAAAAAAAAAAAAAAAAAAAAGAAAAAGAAAGAAATAAACATGGGCAGTGGTGTGAAAATAGAAACAAGAACAGTATGTTTATGGGGTTCATGGAGCATGAATATGGCTGTTCTTACCAAAGTGGAGGGAACTTATGGGGGCTAGTGGTGGGGAATGAAGCCAGAAGGGTAGTTGAGGCTAGACCAGAAGGCCCTCAGAACTCTGCTAAGGAGTCTTAGCTTTATCCTCAAGGCATGAAGGCAGCTGAGCTGCGGAGAAAGTATAAGTTGCCTTCAAAAGATTAACCAGGTAGCTATGCAAGATGAATTTGATGGAATCTTCTGCTTGGGTCTCAAATTCTTTGTCCTCTAATCTACTAGCCTAAGGCTCTCAATACTCCTGCCTGAGCCTAGAAGCCTGGAGACCACCTAGGATGTGTTTGCAATAGTATGTGCAGGAGAGTGTGAAGGCGGAATAGAAAGGAAGGATTGGGCTGGGCATGGTAACTCACGCCTGTAATCCCAGCAGGTTGAGATTTGGGAGGCTGAGGTGGGTGGATCACCTGAGGTCAGGGGTTTGAGACCAGCCTGACCAACATGGAGAAACTCCGTCTCTACTAAAAATACAAAAAACTAGTTGGGTGTGGTGGTGCACACCTGTAATCCCAGCTACTTGGGAGGCTGAGGCAAGAAAATTGCTTGAGCCCGGGAGGTGGAGGTTGCAGTGAGCTGAGACTGCACCATTGCACTCCAGCCTAGGCAACAAGGGCCAAACTCCATCTCAAAAAAAAAAAAAAGAAGTATCAACAGAAGCAGAATAAATTATAAATTACAAAGAAAGAATCAACAGGGACTGGGGGCCTAACTGCATATAAGGGCAAGGGAGAAGAAAGAAGCAAAGATGGCTTTAGGTTTAAGCCTCAGTGATCAGGAGAATGATGGTCAGTTGATAAATCTGACTTGTGACACATCACGTTGGGGGTGGTGGTGGTGGTGAAGTCAGAAATGATTAATAAGCAGCTGGAGATGTGGGATGGCAGTTCAGGAGATCAGTTGAGACTCGTGGTAATGACTTTATGTAAGTTATTTCCCACAGTGTTATAATAGTTAAAGAATGTTCATTGTAGGGTTATCGACAACAGCCAAGAGGTGGAAGTAATCTACATGTCCATTGATGGATGAATGGATAAAGAAATTGTGGTACATACATACAATGGAATATTACTCAGCCTTAAAAAGAAGGAAATCTTGTTAGATGCTACAACATGGATGAACCTTGAGAAAATTATGCTAAGTGAAATAAACCAGTCACAGAAGGACAAATACTGCATGATTCCACCATATATGAGTTATCTAAAGTAGTCACAGAAGCAGAAAGTAAAATTGTTGTTGCTAAGGGCTGGGGGAGGGAAAAATAAGGAGTTGCTGTTCAATGGACATAGAGTTTTAGTCACACAAGATGAAAATGTTCTAGAGATTTGTTGAACAACAATGTGCATATAATTAACAATATTGTACTGTACATGTAAAAGTTTGTTAAGAGGGCAGATACCATGTTAGATTTTTGTTTACCCTAATAAAAAATAAATACACAAATCATAAAAAAAAGTTGAGGCCAGCCATGGTGGCTCACACCTATAAATCCCAGCACTTTGGGAAGCTGAGGTAAGAGAATCACTTGAGTCCAAGAGTTCGAGGCTGCAGTGAGGTGTGAACGTGCCATTGCACTCCAGCCTGGGGGACAGAGGGAGACCCTATCTCAAAAAAGAAGAAAAAGTTGAAAGAGGGAGAGTAGATAAGATCTGCATTCTCTCTGGAGAAGAGAGAAAAGATGGAGGCTTAAGAAGGGACATCCGGATAATAGCCAGTTTCAGGTAGGATTAGGAAGAAGAACTAAGAAGGAAAGAGGCTGCCAGAGAAATAGGAACATTTAGCATCTCAGAGGCCATGGGTGATACGGTTTTAAGGAGAAGGCTGTGCACCGCAGAAGAAAGAGAATGGCACTGGAAGTCTCAAGACCCGAGGTAGATTTCTAGTTCTTCCATATAGAGCAATCTCATTTCTTCTCTGAGACCTGGTTTTATTATCTGTAAAATCGAAGAACACCTATCCACATGAAAGTACTCTAAACTGTGATATGGGATACAAATGTTAGGAAATTTTGTTGTTGTTTTGCCTCCTTGACCCCAGCAGTACTATATTACTTTTTTCTATTGCTTTTGTTGTTTAGTTATTATTATTTTTTTAAAATTGAGACAGACTCTGGCTCTGTCTCCCAGGCTGGAGCACAGTGGCACAATCTCAGATCACTACAACCACTGCCTCCTGGACTCAAGCAATCCTCCCAAGTAGCTGGGACAATAGGCATACCACCACAATCTGCTAAGTTTTGTATTTTTGTAGAGATGGGATTTCATCATGTTGCCCAGGTTGGTCTGGAACTGCTGGGCTCAAGCGATTCTCTCACCTCAGCCTCCTAAATTGCTGGGATTACAGGCATGAACCACCGTGCCCTACCACTCTTGTCTTTATGTAGGTCTTCAGTTATGTGCCATAGCCTATCTATGTTAGACTACTTGTGAGAAAACAAAATAGACATAACGTCCTAAGAAAAGAGGCTCAGCTAATGGCTCTTCCTTTGAAAGTTATCCCACCATTGGTTTTCAGAAGACTTCCAAGGTTGCATTTCTTTTTGTTTGTTTGTTTGTTTGTTTGTTTTTAACTTTTGTTTTAAGTTCAGGGGTACATGTCTAGGTTTGTTATATAGGTAAACTTGTGTCATGGGGGTTTATTGTACAGGTTATTTCATCATGCATTTGCATTTCTTATTATGCATTTCTTTTTATAAATGAGAAGAACCAAGGAAAACTCCAATGATAAACAGAGCCAAGTGATTAGGTCAGTTCATTTTAAATAATGAAAAACAGGAAGTTACCCTTTTAATCTACCAAAGGTTGGAAATGGTGGGAGGAAAAGAAAGAGGCTACTTGAAAACTTCACTTTCTAGAGCTTGTATAGTCTTTCCTTGAAGAGTTGATGAGATGCATGTTACAGGGAATGTAAGGGAATTGCAGAAAGCAGGTTCAATTTATTTTTAATTCCTGAGCATCACCATTTTTAGATTACATTTGGGTCAGCACTAATCAGTTACCTGCAAGGAAGCGGAGCTGATTCTTCACTTTCATCATTCCATCACCAGAGCCTCCAATGCACTCATCTTCATCATCACCACAGTCTCCACTTTCAAACCCTTCCTCATCCAGGTTTTTATCCAGAACTCTACCTTTGGGCACAGACATGGTTCTCAGGAGCTGAAAGAAAACAACCAGGAATGCATCAGCTCTTCATATTTCTCAGGTAGGTCTGCACAATGTGTTATTAACAGGAGGCATTAAAAATGTTCAAGGAATTACACAGAAGCTTTAAAAAATCACTTTCAAATTTAAGTAGGTGTAAACTGCTTATACTCTTTAGAGATTCATACTTCTGAACCTTTCCACAGTATTTGATGTGATGGTCTACTCCTTGACTCTACTTACATCATGCAGTAGCCAGAGTGTATATTGCATTAGATCTTCTCATACCACGGTATTTAAGCTCCTGAAAGTCTCCATGATACAACTCACTCATGAGGAACTTAAGACATGATAAGGCAAAGCTAAGAGGACACCAAGACCAGGAAAGATCCCGATGGAAGCCCCCAATAACCAAATTTACAGTCGCTAAATTAAAACCACAAAGTGCTTCCTACCGAATGAGGAGAATAGCAGTGCCATTTTACACACATGTACAATAACTACTTATAATCAATCATCATGAATATATATGCCTTGATCACTAGAAAAATTGTTCAATATTCTCCTCTCCCACAATTCCAGTAAGATGCTTTTAAATTTAGCTTGCTTTTTGTAGATAATATGCACACTAAGAGACATGTTTGTTTCACTCTGCAGTGTCTGGCTTTTCAGTCACATGGCCAATGCATTACTAATTTAACGGGACTCCTACCTTTCAAAAGTCTCTACACTGACCCAAAGACCCAGCGCACCGCACGAAGGGTCCCCAAGGGCCGTTGTCAGATTCCATCTTATTTTTCCTCGCCATCTCTCTCCAAGGCTTCATTCTCATATTCTATTTTTGTCCTGGCTTCTTCCCCATCACCCATTTCTCATCCTAAATCTTAGACCCAACCCCTACTTTTAAAAGACAGCCAACAAAAGATTCTGGATATACAGAAACTGAGATTTTTGTGATTGTGGAAGAGGTATCCACAAAGAAAAACTGCTGCAAACACAAGCTGGGGTTTCTGTGGTTTCCATTGTCCCTATGTTTATGTCACGGCTAAGTATACTTTTATGCTCTCCACCTGTGATTTAGCTGCCACCCTGAGATCTACTTGGAAAGAGCTACATACTACAGAGAAATGTGATTCTGCAGGTGGTTTTTACGTTTTTATTTTTATTTTTTAGCAAAGAAAGGAAAGCCCCAAAGAGGTTTTTGTTTTTGTTTTTCTCTGGCCAACAACCTCTAATGGTATTGGAGAAGCCAATCTACCAACTGTCTCCCACTCCAGCACCACGTTCACCCTGATACTTCCTCTGCTGCTCATCATACACAACTACATTTATTACATATAAATACAGGCTAAGGTGAGCTAGATTAGTGGTTCTCAAACTTCTTGGTCTCAGGACTCCTTTATACTTACTGAGAACCATAGAGAACTTTTGTTTATACGAGTTATATCTATCAACATTTGCCATCTTAGAAATTATAACTGAGAAATTTAAAAAATATTTATTTGATAGCTTCTGTAAACATAACAAGAATGAACCCATGATGTGACATAAACATTTTTTTTTGACACAGGGTCTGGATCCATCACCCAGGTGGGAGTGCGGTGGCATGATCATGGCTCACTGCAGCCTCGACCTCCCAGGCTTAAGCAATCCTCCCACCTCAGTTTCCTAAGTAGCTGGGACTGCAGGTGTGTGACACCATTCCCAATTTTTTTTTTTTTTTTACTTTTTGTAGAGGCGAGGTCTCACGACATTGCCCTGGCTAGAACATAAACATTTTTGAATGACAAACATATTTTCCCAGACATAAGATAATTCGCAGGAAGAGTGGCACTATTTAACAGTTTTATAAATCTCTTTGATGTCTAGCTTAATATAAGATAGCTGGATTATCAAATCTGCTTCTCCACTCAATCTGCTGTGATATATGGTTTTGGTTGAAACATCTGCAGTTAATGCAACCTCCCACAGATATGTCGTGGGAAAAGAGAGAAGTATTTTAGCAGACTTTTCAGATAATTGTGGAGATTTTTCTTTGATACTACATAAAAACTCAACAAGTAGTTGCAATGTAGAATATGAAACCATATAAATAAATATTTCATGTCCTGTTACATTTAAATCCATTGGTATGTTTTGAACTTTGAACATGCATTTTACTCATTTTGTGTCATCATCCATGGGTCATCTGGAAAATACTGGCTCACTAAGCAATGCGGATCTTCACAATGTCAACACCTTTCATTATATGATATAAAAAATCACATTCGTTAATATTATCGCCAATCTCATCTGAAAAGTCTTTAAGTTTTGGGAAGCTCTCAAGCTCACAGTGGCAGGTAAAACTTTAAAACAACTTTTGGTGTTCTATTGAAAGCCTGAATTTTATTATTGGCAATAAATACTGCCAGTTGTTTTCCCTGAACTGACAGGCTCTCTTTGTTCCTTTCCAAGAAAATGTCTAGCAAGTATTCAAGTCTGCATAACTATAGTTTGTCAGTCATTCTCTCAAGTAAAAATGAAACAGAAAGTTCACAGCTCAAATTTCTCACAAGTGCCTTTTCTTGAGATGCACACTGACATGGTTTACTGTGTAAATACTTTAAGTGTACTTCCCATTTTATAACACAGAATCTTTTAAAAGTGCAAGAGATGAGGTTTAATAAAATTGGTAAATTTTTACAGATTCAGCAACGATATCCTTAAGTGAAACTGCCCTTTATTTTTCTGCAAGTACACACCAGTGAAGAATACAATGACTACTAGTACATTTCGGTGCTATTGGCTTAATTCATCCTGTGGTGTCTTGATTCATATTGTGGCATTGAAGAGTTGTACTTGCCACTGCTTTTGAACCATTGGTGCAAATATCAACACAGGGGGAAAGACAAATAATATCTTAGTACTGTTGTGCAAGTAGTTTTAACCTTGTGGATCCCTGGATTTCTTGGATTCCCAGGATCCATAAACCATTGTTTGAGAACTGCTTATCCAGCCTATAACATCACTTCAGTTTCACCAAAACCCCCAACGCCCTCCTTTACCATTATGTCTTATGAGAAATTTGCTTTCAACATAAGCATTTTATGTTAATTTTCAAGAATGCATCCTTTGTGTACATCATGGAATACCTGAATGATAATTTTTCACATAAGCAGAATTTATGTTTAGATATAGATTAGTGAACTTGCTATTTCTCAAGCACGTCTTGCATCTGTCCCTTTCATTAACACCTTCAGTACACATTCATTGAGAATGTACTATGAGCTGTTCTTCATTTGTGTCTGTTCAAAGCCCTCCATACTTTCAAGCCAAGTTCTAATGCCATGTCATTAATAAAGTTTTCCTGGTAGACAGTCATTATAGCTCTCCCTCTCCCTCTTCTACCACTGTTCCCTTTATCTGTACCTCCTAAATGCCACTTTCTGTATGCAATCTGGTATTATTTGTACATATGACTTCTCTCTACCACCATTCTATGAGCTGCCCAGGGGTTTAATCTTATATATCTTTGAACCCCAGAGCATTTAAGGCAGTGTCTAGCACATAGTAGGCACTCAATATATGTGCTATTGAACTGAAGCAAAATGAAGTGTTATGGTATCTTTAATTCTTTAAAAGCTATTTCCACAACCTTATGAAAAAGGAGAAAGTCAAGGTCCAGATTAATTATAGAAGAAGAATTTGTGAATGAATAGCTAAACATTTTTGGAGGACCTTGGCTAAGACCTGTAGCTAATCTTTGAGAGGCCATTTCCAACCTGTGTGCAATCCCCCCACTATTCTTGAGTAGCTCAGTTTAAAACAAAGTGCAATGAAACAAAAACCCTTTAAAACTTTGTCAGTGAAGTTACTTCTTTAGGTATTAAATCATTCCCATTCTGGTGACAAATTCAGCGTGGAAGAAGGATTACAGTAGACTTTTAAGCCATTTTACACAGACAGCCGCTGATAAACCTAACCGTCACACATTAACAAAACAAACCCAAACCTAGAAATCTATTGTTAATGCAAAAATCTTAAAGAAGAGACTGAAACTCCAGAGTGTTGAAAGAAGGGTAATGGGTCAGAGAGGAGGAATTGCCAGCAAGGAGTGGATTTAGCACAGCCTGGAATTTGGCCCAGAAATCCAATTGCCTAATTACAATTCACAATATTGACCTTTTTGTTCCCTCTCTCAGTCTTTCAGACTGAACATTCACTTTATGAAAAGATAATTATGAGGGACTTGCACACAAAAGGAGGTAACTTTAGGGGACTAATGCTTTTTATTAACTGCCATTTTCAAAGGACACTGTCCTGTTAGGTTTTTAAAAGCCAAGGCATACAATAATGATTATCAATGTAAACTATCATACTAAAACTTACATCTGAGTATTTCATTCCACTATCCCCATAGACATTCTGTTAACCTGACACTTCTGCTGTGCATTACTTTGCATACAGAGGACACCTTAGTGGAAGTGCACAAGGCCCTTCACATTCCAGCTTTTTCTACAGCCACTACTGTCTGTGCAACTCTGTTTTAGCCACTGAGACTACCACAGTTGCCTAAGCATACAATCAACTTTCTTTTAGAATCTAATATTTTAAATATGCAAGTATCAAATATAGAAAAGTGAAAGGAAAAAGAAACAAGGAAGAAAACCCCTAATTCCCAAACTTAAATAAACAATGTTTGTGTTTTCAAAGGTCAGCACTTTTTAATGCTTGTTTTTCAATTGAACTTGTATTTGGGAAGCAGATTGACTTGAGCTAGAATACTACTTTTTCCACTTATTAAAATTGTATTTTCAGACAAGCTGCTTAATCTCCCTAAACCTCAGTGTCCTCATCTATAAAATGAGGGAAATAATGCCTGCCTCACAGAATTGTTATAATAAGTAAATGTGATAAACGTCATACTTTACATGGGATAATGCATCTATCCATTAAGGGATCTATCAACATTTACTTAACCATTTTCCTAATATTGAATATTTGCATTGTTTCCTGTTATTCTGCTTTTATAAACA